GAGCTGCGATCTCTGCGCTCCATTCTCATGAACTGGACGACATCGAGTTCCTCGGAAGTGAGGGATGAAGAGTCGAGTGAATCAAAAGATGCGTCGGGGTCAGATGTGGTGAACTCGTCTGAGGAAGTGATGGAGGTGGTGTCTTCGGGGGTGATGTGGTGGAAAAATCGGGTGCGGGAGGTGCCGGGGGGGGCCAGGTGGTGGGGGTGGAGGAGTCGATCGTGGTGGAGCATGCGAGAGAGGAGGTCAGCAAGGGGCATGTCGGGTTCGTGGGCGAGGGCGGTTGCAAGGTCTTTGTGGCATACTCGTTTGATGCGGGAGATGAACGCACAGTCGGGAATGACGGTGTGGGGGAGGTGGTGTCGGAGGGAGCGGACGTATTGGACGAAGCGGTCTGTGGGACCGGTCTGGCAGAGGTGGCAGAATTGTTCAAGGTAGTCGTCAATGGTATTCTGGGGGCGGAAGGTGGCAGTCAGGAGGGTGGCCCATTGGAGGAAGGTGGGGCGTGGTCCTCCGGAGGCTCGGCGGTTGCTAGCTTCAGCCATCCACCATTTGGCTGCATTGCCGAGGAGGCGGGAGGTGGCAATGGGGAGCCAGTGGGCAAGGGGCATGTGGTGGAGCTGAAAAGAGTTCTGAAGCAAGGTTAGGAAGAGGAAAACGTCCTCGTGGGGGAGGCCGGAGAAGRACATGATTTCGCCAGATCGGAAGGAACGGGGGATTTCCCCGTCGCGGTGAACGATCTGCGCGAGGGTGTTAAAGCTGAGGTTATCGGAGGTGGTGTCATAGCAGGTGTGGTCGATTTGGTTGTTGTCCTCAAGGAGGTAGTTGGGKGGAAGTTGTGGCATTGCGGGAAAGGCCCCAGAGGTGACTTGGGAATAGGTGGGACGGATGGTGGGGATGGTGGAGGCGGTCATGATGGGTTCGGAGAGGGTTTGGGAGTGCGGAGGGGGAAGAGGGGTGACTTTGATGGGCGAGGAATGAGGCGGTGTGCTAGATGCGCCGGATGAGGGAGGAGGTGGAGGGAACGGAACGATGGTGGGGATTGAGGGGTTGGTGGATAAGGCGGTAGAGGTGGTAGGAGTGGAGGAGGTCGGCGGGGGGGTGTTGCTAGAGGCGGCTGTGGAGGAGGGAGTGGTTTGCGCTGTGGGGGTTGGAATGGTTTGCACTGTGGGAGTTGGAGTGGTTTGCGCGGCGGTGACGACCGTGATGGAGGGGGTGGTCCCTTCGAGCGTGGTGACGCGGTCACATATGGACGACATGTTGGCCTTCATGTCGTCGAGAGAGGCGGTGACGAAGGTTCGGAGGGTGTTGAGTGCGTGGAGGATGGCGGAGAGGTCGAGGGTGGCGGTGTTTGTTGGTGGTTGTTCGCCTACGAGGTTGCGGGCGATGCTATCAACTGAGTCGGTGCAGATGTCAGACATGTTGATGGAGGATGCGGCCATGTCAGGGGAAGAGGGGGTGGACGACGTGGCCTGAACGGGTGTGGAGGATGCCGCAGCAGTGGTGGCGGCGGCGGCGACGGCACGTTGGGAGTTCTTAGTTTGGCGTGGTGGCATGTGGAGGGTGGGGGGGGAATCCCTTATTTATTTATTAATAAATTCAAAAATAAAGATAATACGCAAGTTTTTTTCAAAAATTAACGCTGAACAGAAAGAGTTAATTAATTTCGAAAAAATAAATTCCGATTTGGATTTAAATTTATTTACAAGAAAACATGAAATTTCGAAAGAAAATATTTTCGAATTACGGGGGAAAAATGAAGAAATCAATAAAATTTTGAAAAAAAAAAAATTAGGAAGAGGAAATTTTTAAAATATTTGGCAAGAATTTTTCACAAAGGAAAATGTCGACATTTCAGAAAAAGGATAATTAATTTCGAATAAAGAGATTAATTCAGTCGTGAATTAATTGAATTTAGTCGAAATTAATTGAGGGGTTTAGCATAACATTTTTAAGATAAAAGTACTTCCGAATTGTAAAAAGAGTTTCGAATTTCAACAAAAATTGCGAAAAGAAATTGTGAATTAAAATACTGGAAAAAAGAATTAATTAGAATTATTTTTGAATTTC